TGTATGAGCTCAGCTGAAAAGTCAGCAACCTTTGTCCCCTTCAATCTTTAAACTATAGAAGTCCAGCTGGAGTTGAAAACAACCCCCTCTTCCCTTTATATTTATACCACTCACTCTGCACTACTGTTGTGCATAAAAGTTCTATAATACCCTAAAAATTGGCCACTGATTTGGGTCGTTTTCCTTTTTCCTCCCCATCTCTTTTTCCTTTTATGCTATTGTTTGCTTTAGAACGTAAATATAAATGCAGAGGTGGCCTTCCACTCCGTCCTTTTATTAACTAAAACCAGAAAAATAAAGAAAAAATAGACACAATTATAAAAAAGAAGAAAGAAACTAAAATTGGTTCAAATTTGGTTTTTTATATGTACAAACTGGTTATGTATTCACAGGCATATACAGCTCAGTTATATTGATAAATTATTGAATTGTAAATTGATGGTAGCATCAAGGCAAACTGGCTGAAGAGTAGGATGGAAATGCTTTGAATCTAAAATCCTTTTAGCTGGGGTGAAGGGGGACAAGCTAGTGCAGTGACTGACATTAACCAAATATACACTGAGGAGGGTACCATTGTCATTGCAAATTATAATAGGAGCCAGGCACTGTTATTACTCAGATGTTTGATTAGATATCAGCCATAAGAATAATAAATCTCTGAAGAACAAACATTGTTATAAACTGTAGATGAATGGGAAAAATTACCTGGAAGATGACAGCCCATCTGCCCATATAGAGAAACTACATAGATAAAGTGAGGGTGGAAAAGAATTTGCAAAGAGAATCATATCTAAACATATCCTGCTGATGTGTACATAAGCTGGGTTGCTCTACAGGAGAAGCTGCATTTGAAGAAAACAAAATCATGGCTTACATTATATATTTATCAGTCTACTTTAAAATAAATATTGTTGTGTGAACCTTATGTGCAATTGCTATTGGTAGGCAGCTCTAAATTCTCTATCTAATTCTTAGATTTGCTCCAGGCATTATACATAGTACTTCTATTTTATTTATTTATTTATTTGATTTGTCAATTGTTTACAAGATAATAAGTATAAGGGTATACATAGTTATGAATACATGAAATGGGTACATACAAGAAAAATAAAAGAAAAACAAAAGAAACAATAGGACAGGGACTGTAGGCACGTTGGCATGCTTATGCACGCCCCCTAGAGACCTCTTAGGAAAGGGGTGAGGTCAA